CCTTTGGCTGGTGCAGGTTCAACCTCAGGTACGTATGGGGCAGGGTCATGCTTCTCTCTCACTGTTCTTTGCCCCCTTGAGAAAGGGAGGTCCCGAGAGGGTGTATGGTAGAAGACAAAACTTCTTGTCTGGGGAATGACCTCGGGGAGCCAGTGACCTTTGTCCTATGTGTCCACCTCCTAGGGTGAATCCCCGCCTAGAGGCTGGGACACTAACCAAGAAGTGGCACATGGCGTATCATGGGAGCAACGTGGCAGCCGTCCGGAGGGTGCTGGACCGGGGGGAGCTGGGAGCAGGTACCGCGGCACCGGCAGAGGCCGGGCAGGCCGGGCCCATGGGCCATGGGGGGGGCCACCCTGACCCAGCTCTCCTCACAGGCACTGCTTCCATCCTGAGCTGCCGGCCCTTGAAGGGAGAGCCTGGGCTGGGGTTTGAGGAGCCTGGCGAGAACTGCGCGCCTCCTCGGGAGCAGCAGCCCCCTCCAGTGCTGCTTTCCCCCTCCCTCCAATATGCTGGGGCTGAGGCCCTGGCATCCAAAGTGCAGTGAGTACACAGGAAGCAGGGCCTGGGGCCACACGGGTCGCCATGATTCCCTCTCCTCTCCCACCTTGTCTCCCTAGTTCCTCAGTCTCTACCCAGCCCTTTCTTCACACAGTCTTTGCACAAGTACCACTTATTTTGTCCTATCACAGAGAACAAAGAAGGGAACCCTAGGCATGTGGAAGTTATGCTCTTTCTTGCTCTAGAATGTTTATGCATAATAAGTATTTAGTATTTTTAAAGGTGACAAGTACTATGGAAACAAAAAGAGTGGGTGAAGTGGGTCAGAAGTGTGGTTGGAGCGGGCGTATGGTATAGGGTGGTCTGCGTAGACTTCATTAAGAAGGTGAGATCTGAGCAAAGACTTGGAGAAGGCAGGAGGGAGTTAGGCGAGCAGGCATTGGGAGGAAGGCCATTTCAAGTAGAGAGGACGGCTAGAGCCAGGTTCCTGTACGGAGAGAGTGATTCCTGAGAACAGCAAGGCCAGCTTCTAACTGTCGTGGTGGCAGCTGGAAAGGGGGAGAGGTCCTGGGCCCAGAGGTCTCACTGCCCTATTTATGCTTCTTGCCTGACAGATTCCGGGACCCCAAATCCCAGCAGACACACCAGGCCCAGGTGGCGTTCCAGGTGTGTGTGCGCCCTGGCTCCTACACCCCCGGACCCCCTTCCGCTGCCCTCAGAGAGCCTCCCGACCCTCACTTCAGCCCAGCCGAACTTGAGTGGGTAACCAAGGAGAAGGGGGCCACACTTCTCTATGCCCTGCTGGTACGGGTGGAGTGAGGGGTGAGGCCGCACCACTACAAGCACAGTTGGGCCTCGGCCCGTGGACTCTGAATGACGACTGCCACCACCTCACTCCAGCGACCCACGGCACGCTGAGTGCTCAGCCTGGCAGATGCACAGGAGCATGCGGGCAGACTCTCAGACTAGCTGGGAAGCGGAGCTGTCTCCGTGCCCAGGGCTCGGACAGTCCCTCCCTCCGAGGTGAAGGCGCAGCGGGGAGCCCGGCCGCAGGCCCTGGGGAACCCTCTCCATGCACTGATCTGGGGAGCACGACTCCCCGCGACTCCTCCCCCATACACTTAATTTATTTCCGTTTCTGTTCTGGTTACTGTGAATTCCAGAGGAGTCTCCCGGTGCCCCACATGAAGCTGCTTTTCCGGCCCAGGCGGGAGTGGGGAAGGCGGCGCCGGGGGTCGGGCCTCTGTACAGTTGTTACTGACTCTGATTTCTAAGGAGCCAATAAACGCCGTCTCAGAGCAGCCGCCTCGGCCTCTCTCGCGCGCGCTTCTCACCTCCCGGAGGAGCCCCGGCCCCGCCACGTCAGGGACTCCGCCCGCGGGGCCGGCCCGGTAGGGGCGTTTCGCGGTGCGCGGCCGAGGCGCAGCGGAGGCGTTTGGACACCGCGGGCACCCGTCGCGAGCGCTACCGTCTGCCCCGCCCCACCGCCCCGCCCCGCCCCGCCCAACCCGCGAGCCCGCGGCCGCCCCGACTCCGGAAGGATTCGGCCGAGCGGCCGGATGTGACGCTACGGCCCAGGCGCTCGGGAGGCCGCGGAGAAAGCGACGAGAACGCGGGTAGGGAGGGGGGGGGCTCCCGGGTGGCGGGCAGGGGGCGGGAGCGCCAAGACCCCCGCCCGCGCACGCGGAGGAGCCGCGTTGAGGGCCGGTCCGGGCGGTGGGCACGTGACCGCGGCGGCGGGCGGGCGGCTTCCGCCCGGCCCGGCGCGCTACCCCTGAGCGCCCGCCTCCCCGTAGGCCCGGCCCGAGGTCTGGCAGCCAGCGACAGAGCCGGGCGCCCACGGCCCGAGCGCCCCCGGCAGCACCATGCCTGCGCTCCTGGAGCGCCCCAAGCTTTCCAACGCCATGGCCAGGGCGTTGCACCGGCACATCATGATGGAGCGGGAGCGCAAGCGGCAGGGTGAGACGGGGCCAAAGCGGGAGGATGCACGGCCCGGGGAGCACCGCGCTCCCAGGGCTGACCCCCCCCACCCACGGGCAGACCAGTGCACAGCGGCCGAAGCTAGAGGGACGGACAGCCCCGTTGTGTCGGGGATTAGAGGCCACACCTAAACTCCAGCGCCCTGGAGCTGGGAAGGACCTTGGAGAGCACCTAATAAACCTCCCCGCCCCAGCCCCCTCGCGGTGATGGGGAAGCCTGTCCCCTCCTAGTGCTTTTGGTACTGGAGCAAGTACAAAGAGTACTGGGATAACCAATTTTTGCCGGTCTTCATTCTCTAACATTCTGATAGTTTAACCATCCTGCCACTTTCTCTTTCTACCTGACTCTTATTCCAGAGGAGGAAGAGGTGGACAAGATGATGGAACAGAAGATGAAGGAAGAGCAGGAGAGAAGGAAGAAAAAGGAGATGGAAGAGAGAATGTCACTAGAGGAAACCAAGGAACAAGTAAGCAGTCTCTTCATCTCTCCTAGCTCTTTCTTCTCTTGGCTCTCCTGCCTTCACCTTCTCTCCCCTCCCCAGATCCTGAAGTTGCAGGAGAAGCTTTTAGCCCTACAGGAAGAGAAACATCAGCTTTTCCTGCAGCTCAAGAAAGTTTTACATGAGGAGGAAAAACGGAGGCGAAAAGAGCAGAGGTGAGATTGGAGAGCTAAAAATAAAATTGGGCCCAAAGTGTAACTGGGATCAGGTAACAAAACATCAGTGTTCAATGGCAAACGGGACGGGGAAGGGGGTGGGAACGGCATGGGTCGGACTTGTCTTTGATCTGCCTTCCTTTCCCTCCAGTGACCTGACCACTCTGACATCAGCGGCATACCAGCAAGGCCTGACCGTTCACACTGGAACTCACCTCCTCAGCATGCAGGGTAAGGATTAAAGAAACTGCTTGTCAGAATGCGCCTTCCAGTAGGTTGCTGCCCCATTTCAGCATCATGAAGCCCCTCTCCCTCTCTAGGGAGCCCTGGAGGACACAATCGCCCAGGCACCCTCATGGCAGCAGACAGAGCCAAACAGATGTTTGGACCCCAAGTGCTTACGGTAAGAACAGTAGAAATGGGTGTCTGGGCTGAATTTTTTTCCCTACTACTACCACCCAGACCCCAGCGTGCTTACCAGCCAGCACTCAAGTCATGAGTGTGTCCCACCAAACTGTGTAGAGGAAATGGGGCAGTCACTTGAGTTTTTGCTTCATGGAGTTCACAGGCAGTGAGTTCTCATCTTTCCTCCTTAGACCCGGCACTACGTGGGCTCAGCAGCTGCTTTCGCAGGGACCCCAGAGCATGGGCAATTCCAAGGCAGCCCGGGCGGCGCCTATGGGACTGCTCAGCCCCCACCTCACTATGGACCCACACAGCCTGCCTACAGTCCTAGTCAGCAGCTCAGAGGTGAGCAGTGGGAAAAGAGGAAGAGAGCTTTCCTCAAGGCCCAGAGGGAGGAGTGGGGAACAGGCTACGAGGAGGTTCTCGTGACTGTCTCTTGCCTCCTCAGCACCTTCCGCATTTCCTGCAGTACAGTACCTGTCTCAGCCACAGCCTCAGCCCTATGCCGTGCACAGCCACTTTCAGCCCACCCAGACAGGTGACGGACACCCCACGCAGGGGCCCAGTTTCACGGGTCCTCCCTTCCTTTCTCCATTCTCTACTCACTTCACACCCTTCCTCCCCACCTAGGGTTTCTCCAGCCTGGTGGTGCCCTGTCCTTGCAAAAACAAATGGAACATGCTAACCAACAGACGGGCTTCTCTGACTCAGTGAGTAGAGCCTTGCGAGGTCAGGGAAGGGCTACCTATGCTAAGGGGAGCCGCAGGTTGCCTCAGCTAACTTTGTTCTCTGCAGTCCTCCCTGCGCCCCATGCATCCCCAAGCTCTGCATCCAGCCCCTGGACTCCTGGCCTCACCCCAGCTCCCTGTGCAGATGCAACCAGCAGGAAAGGTAAGGTGGTAATCCAGCCCGTGAGAATCCCTACACGACAGGGAAACAGGACTGGGTAGGATAGGTGGTCCCCACCCCCATATTCCCTTCCTCCCTTGGGATGGCTCTCAGTTGGGCGTGGAGTAAAAGGGAGGGCACGCACGCTGACAAAGCCCTCCTTTCATCACCGCTGCCAGTCGGGCTTTGCAACCACCAGCCAGCCTGGCCCTCGGCTCCCCTTCATCCAGCACAGCCAGAACCCGCGATTCTACCACAAGTGACCATCAGATTTGATCTTCAATCTTGCCCCCAGCCCCTGCCGTGGGGGAGGATCCCTGGTGTGTCCTAGTCCCAGGCCAATAAAATCTACCTGCCACTGACCCTGGCTGCGACTATCTTGTGTTGCCTCCCACTGGGCTGCTAGGAGGGTGAGGGGTGGCTGGCAGGTCCATAGGAACCACAGGGGGACAGCAGGTTGGTTGTAATGAGCTCAGTGGCAGAGTTCAACCTATACTCTTCTTTCTGATTTCCAAATTGACGTTCTAGTCAGCAAATACCGATTTATTTCGAAGCAGCAGCTGAGTTGGGGGCTTCATATTAAACTTGTAGTTTTATTCAGGTTTGATTTTTAACAAATGTGTCGGGGAGAGAGCCCGCAGGAAAGGGTGAAGCCCATGGGGGCAGGGCCCTCCCAGATGCCTGAGGAGGGGGCAGGTCCCCTCCCCTCTCCTCCTCTTCCCTTCCCATCTAAAGGGATTTGGGGAGAGACATAGGCAGGGGAGGGGGCTGGTCCCCAGTCTGTGGGGGTGGTGCTTGGGAAAAAGGGCTATTGGGGAATAAGGGACCAGACCAGGGATGAGTAGGGGAAGGGCACAAGGAACATTTGCCAGAATCCACAGCTTTCTGATTCCAGATTGAATTAAAAAAAAAAAAAAAAAAAACCAAAAAAAAAAAAAAAAAAACCAAACCAACCTAAACCACAAGCAGCACCCACCCGGTCTCCCCCACCAGGGCTGTAGTGCGAGGGGAGAAGAGGAGGGCAGCGTCACCAAGGCCATGGTTCACTCACTCCTGGCCAAGGGAGCAGGGTGAAGGGCACGGGCTCCCCGACAGATTGAGGGTGTAGGGGAAACCAAAATAAAATGTCAAATAAATTGTGTAGGAGAAGTCCAGCCAAGGGCCGGGCCAGAGCTGGGCCAGGCTGGGGGAGGGGGCCTCTGCAGGCTGGAGGATCACTGCTGCCACCACAGCCACCCTGGGTAGAAGAGAGAAACCAGGTGAGACAGGATAAAACCTTCAAAGGGAAAAAGGGTGAGGGGAACAAGCACCACAGTCAATTAAGACCAAAGTAGCTCTTCCATGGAGATAACAAAGTGAGTGGAGGGGGCTGGGGGGAGGGGGGTCACCACACTCACCTGGGAGCCAGTTATTTTGCCATGGCCTTGATTGCAACAGCTGCCTCCTCTGTCATGGCAGACAGCACCGTGATCTGGGGGAGCATGGGGGATAGTCAAGTCTGAGCTCAGAGAAAGAAGCACAAAGAACAAGGCTGGGCATAAAAGAAAGAGGGGGGGCACCATACCAGTATCTCTTCTCCACAGTCGTACTTCTGCTCAATCTCCTTGCCAAGATCTCCCTCAGGCAGACGGAGGTCCTCTCGCACCTCCCCGCTGTCTTGGAGCAGTGATAGATACCCATCCTGGATGCCAATCAGCTGGGGGCAGACAGGGAAGGAAGCTGAAGGTAGGCCCAAGTAGCCTGAGGATAAAGGGTCTGATGGGCAAACTAGGGTGGGAAACTGCTAATACCAAATACCCTCTCCTCCTGCCAATCTCCCTTCTCTCAGCACAAGGTCTTCTCGCCAGTCTCTATTTTCCTCCCACAAACCACTAACCCATCTACATCCAGACCATCTACATCCAGACCATCTACATACCTGGAAATCGTTCCTTTTGATGTTGGGGACATCCATATTATGAGTTGACGGGCAGATATCTTCATATTTCTTCCCAGTAAAGATGTCAATACCAACCAGATGGACCTGTATGCATGCATCACATCAAAGAGAAACCCAACCAAACTCTAGGATGGAGGAGATAAAGGCTCAAGTTATCCCTGGCTAGTGAGGGAAGTCAGACTAGGTTGTCAGGACAAAGATTAGAGGAGCTGGAATTGAACCAATCAACTCAAGAAAGAAACACTAAAGCCTCTAAAAAGAGCCTGGGGCCAAAAGACCACCACTGAGACTGGAGTTGACAGCACACAGGAAGGTTGTAGGACAGGCTTGGAGCAGTCACCTCGAGCTATCAAAACATTAACGAGAGACCAGGATCCTAGGGGAGCAGGAGGAGTCTAGGTGAAAGTCTGGAAGAAGCTTTCTGGACATCAGCATAAAAGGCTGAGAACTTGGAAAATAAGGAAGGTAGAAGGAAAAGAGCTGAGAAAACAGAAAGGAATGAGAAAGAAGAGAGCTGAAAAGAAAAAAGGACTTGGGGAGAGAACAGAAAAAACAATGCATTTAGGAAATAAGAAAACCAGAAAGAACAAAGAATGATCTAGACATCTGGGGGTAACTCAGGATGTGCCAAGTCAACAGAAGACAGAAAAACTGATTTGGGAACAAAACCACAAGAAATCCAACAAGGGTGAATCAGGTTGAACTTTTGAGAAAAAAGAAAAAGTAAAGTTACAAGGAGGGATATAAGAAAAATGTTAGGACCTAAGGAAGCAAGGAGGCTCCAGGAGAGGGGGCAGGTAGAGACACTCTGATGCTGCATCAGAGATCCAAGGGGAGAGCTGGCACTGGAGAGTGGGGCAGCAATTTGGAAGATCAGAGGTGTACACTGGAGCCCCTCCGAGAGATGTTAGGATTGGAGAAATCCTGGGCAAAGTGATAGAAACAAAGAGAACCTACAAAGACTCAAATGGACAGACAAATAGAAAAAGTGACGGAGCAGCTGAAGAGTCAGAGCATAAAGGACCACAAAGAGAAGTTGGAGACACACAAAGATGGAGAAAGGGGGGATTCCAAGGATGACAGGGCACAGAAGGGTAACCAAGGAGGAAGCTGAAGGCTGGTGTAGTAGTTGAAAAAGGTGTCCAGGGCTGAGTGCTGAACACAAGGAACTGGATGGTAATAAAAGAGCTAAAGAAGATAGGGGGCTAGCATTGATGACAGCTGGTGGGGAAGACAAGATATGGAAATGAAATTCTAACCTTGGCATGGCCGTGCTTGCCAGTCTTGGAGGTTGACATCTCCACAATCTTACATGGCCGGCCTTTGAGCACCACAAAGCCATTCTTACGTAATGCTGAGCACTGCATCGGGAAGGTGGCTGAGGCCCCTGCATCTCCTGTCTCGAAGTCCAAATCATCTGCCATTTTAAGAGGCTTCGATTCCAACTAGAATCAAGAAGAGAACTAGGGTCAGTAAGGATAGAATTAATAGGGTCTCCAATTTATCCCACTCTACTCTAGAAACACTGATTCATTTTTTCCCCAGCACTTTATTCCATTACCCACGTAAAATAAAGTTCCTAGATTAAATACTGATTGGAATCAAAAATACTATGTGTGTGGCGGTGGGAGATAAGCAGGATTCCCCACCGCAAATGAAAGCTAAAGGGGTGGCCCGGGATAGAAAAAGCTCCAGGAAGTCAGGATGTCAAATCTCTGAGATGGGCAAAGGCCTAATTCCTGGTAGGGGGAGGACTCAGGTGTTGCTTGCCACTGAAAACCAACCACCCCTCTTCCCCACACATAACCAGGGCTATAATTAGGTGAGCAGCTATGAGCCAGCAAAAGGGCGGGGCTAATGTGGGGGGGGGAGGGGTGGAGACCGGAGGACAGGGAGCCCCACCCGTCTCTGTTACCCCCCCCCCACCCTATCCACACACGAGCCAGTCACTGGTACAGGAAACCACAAGGCCTCTTTGGGGGATTCCCGCCTCTCCAACATGCATTTGCAGACGCAGCCGAGGGGGAGAAAGTAAAGTTGTTTTCTAACTGATCTCCCTGCCAAACACCTCTGCTTTCCCAAAGGGAACCCAGGAACCCAGCCTCTCCTCAAGGGCCCTCCCACTTTTCCCAGGATGCACCGGTCCTGTCGGCTTTTCAGGCCGGGCCTGTACAGTCAGTAGAAAGTGGGAGAGTGGGGAGTGGTGAATGACGATAAAATGAAAGCAAAAGGCTGGTAGTAGTTAGTGAGTAGTGTAAATTATACTAGGCTAGCAGAGTTAAGGACCCTAAAACCAGGAACTCCCAAAACAGACACAACGAGAAAGACAGTGACAAGGTGAAGAGCACCTATCAAAATGGGTAATTCATCTGCCCGGGACTTTAAAGCGCTGTCGGGACGACCGATAAGAGCTGGGCTCCCGTCCAATCGCCCTCGGTTTCCCACTTTCTCTGGCGTCCCAGCACGGACAAATGCCACTTACACCTGGCTGGCCGCCTCACTTCACAGGAGGATTGGGGGGAAAGCTACAGGGGCCCATGAGGTGGGGGAGCGCTAACATATGCCCACAGCGGGCTCACGGAGGTGATCAAGATCAGGGCGTCGGGCTTCTCCCACTCCTCAAAATTCCAAACTCCCTTAGGCGCCCGCGAGGACCACCTCTCTCCGCGCTGGGGGTTGCCGGCTCCCGCCCACCATGTGGCCGCCCGGGGCTTCCGGTGGCCGGGACCTGGGGGGAGGGGTCCCCGCGCTGCCATGCGGCCCCCGTCCACCTTCGGCCATGCGGCCTCCGACCCCAAGGGCAGCCTCTCATAGGGGGCACTTCCGGTACTGCGGCCACCCCCCCCTCAAAGGCCGCGCCAGGCCGGAGCCACGCAGCCTCCCCTCCCCCCCGCCGGCCGCCAACCCCCCCTCCACATGCCCTCTCACCGAATAGCCCCCTCCCCCACCTCACGTGGCCGCGCGGCGCCCGGTTCTCAACGTCCCAGGTACCCTTACCCCGGCGGGCCGATCTTGCCCCCGGCCCTCGCCCCAGCTTGGCCGCCCGGCGGCCTTTCCCGCGTGGCGGCCTCGCGGCTCGCCGTCCCCCGCCCTGCGTCGCTCCAACGTCACCGGGCCAGCCCCAACCGTCACCCCGCGCGCCAACCGGGTCGCGCGCCCGAGCCTCTCCGCACCTCGCGCCGCTCTCAGACCGAATCTCGTGCGGCGGCGGCGGCCGCCGATCCCCTCTGCCCCCTCCCCGACCCTCGCGCAGTTCCATCTCTACTCCCAGGCCCAAGCCAAGGTTCCGCGCACGCGCGCCCTGCCCGCTCTCACCTCGCGCGAATGCACTGACTCGACCCCGTTCACTCGCGGCGAGCCCAACCGCTGCCCCAGAGCCCGCTGCCGCCGCCGCCGCCGCCTCTACCGCCGCCGCCGCTGCTGCACACGGGTCTTAGTACGCAGGCGCCGACTCCCCACTGACCAACCAAGCAGCCCTGTGACAGCCGCGCAAGCGTGCTATCTATCTCCTCCGCCCTCCACCCCCGCACTGCGCAAGCGCACAGATTCTCCCGGCTCTCCACCCTCCCTCCCACCTACCCATCCAATGACGCGCATCCGTGACCCCGCCCCTCACAATTCCTGAGTTCGTCCCACCAGTAGGCAACGCGCAGGCGCATCCGGTTTTTTAATCCCTTCAACCTCCTCTCCCATCCCCGTGTTAGACCACCAGCCCTACCGGACGGTTCTTGCGCCTGCGCAATAAGAAGCCCTGCACTCCACACCCTCTGAAGGAAACGCCTCGGCCTCAAGGCGCATGCGTGTTGGGAGTCCTGACCGCCCCTTCCACTTCAGACGTCGTCTGTACGCCAGGCGTTGAAAAGACCACGCCACTGTACTGCTGGTGTCGTCTAGAACGCATGCGCCTTAGGAAACGCCCCACCTCGACTTTAGCTGGGCTTAAGACTCACACGTTTCAGAAAACTTGTACTGTGGGGTGGGTCCTTGGTCTCAAAACCCATTTCCCCGCTTCCCACTTCCCCTGGTTCCACACATGCGCGAGAGAGCTCTTTACGCTCCACTCTTCCCAGCGCGCTAGTGTGGTCGGGTTACCACCCATCTCAGCTTCACTTCTCTGAACTGTGCGACTCTGCTCTGCCATAGAGTTTCATCCAGAAAGATAGAGCGGTCCTGTCCCAGCCACCATCTTGTTTAAACCCTCGGTCCATGTTGGTCTCTATGGCTTCCATAGAGGCCATTCTACTTCTGAATCCTAAAATAAAGAGATTTACATGGCATTTCTCTTTTTCCCCCAACTGTTCTCTGCGGTCTCCAAAACAGTTGTCTACGAGCACCCTTAGAAAAAATTCTCTATAAAGAAGAGTGCTGTATCAAATTACACTGACATTCTCTAAATCATGGGACGTGACCAATGAAACCAGAAACAAACTATCTCTCGGAATGACTTTCCCTGGCCCTCGTTCTAGAGAAGAAAGGCGCTGCTTTTCCTGAAAGTTTGTAGTCTTCTTCCTCTAGTTCCTAGGTTTTCAGCACTACCTTCATAGCTACCTTGTTTGCTTCAGTAAGCTAGGTTGACAACAGTATTACGGAACAAGACAAGCAGCTAAATAGCTCGACTTGGAATCCAAAATCCTAAATCTGGTTCTTGTTTAAGATGTGACATGATGGATGTGAACTGCAAACACTAGCTTGAATTAATACATTTACGTAGCACATTATACTATCACCCCCAGCTCCTCCCACTCAATTTTCTGAAGTTTCTGCCATTTCCTTTGGGGAAAACAAACTTCCTGGGTGCATTGTTTGAAAGTTCAATTCATGCTCTTCTCAAAGATGTATTGTCCAAATGACCCAACAATTCCACTCCTAAGTATATACCCACCCCCAAAAATTAAAAACAGGTACTCAAATCCTTGCACGCAAATGTTTAGAGAGCCTAGATGAACTTTGAAAACATTATGATAGGTGAAAGAAGCCAAACAAAAATAGGTCACATACTCTATGATTCCATTGATATGAGATATACAGAATAGGTAAATCCATAGAAAAAAAAGCAGGCTGGGGCTTCCGTGGTGGCGCAGTGGTTGAGAGTCCGCCTGCCGATGCAGGGGACGTGGGTTCGTGTCCCGGTCCGGGAAGATCACACATGCCGCGGAGCGGCTGGGCCCGTGAGCCATGGCCGCTGAGCCTGCGCGTCCGGAGCCTGTGCTCCGCAACGGGCGAGGCCACAACAGTGAGCGGCCCGCGTACCGCAAAAAAAAAAAAAAAAAAAAAA